AGTGTTCCATGACCAGGACAAAAACCACACTGCTCTTCCTGAATCCGAGATTTGACTATCCGACAGACCCTCCTCTCCAGAACCCCCGAATAGACCTTACCAGGGAGGCTCAGAAGTGTGATCCCCCTATAGTTGGAACACACTCTGTGACCCCGGTCTGTCAATCCAGGGGAACTGCCCCCAATGTCCACACGATATTATAGAGTTGCGTCAACCAACACAACCCTGTAACATCCAGAGCCTTAAGGAACCCCTGGTGARTCTCATCCTCCATCAGCGTTACCACAGAGGAGCTTTGTAACCACTCCGGTGACCTTGGCACCAGAGATTGGAGAGTCCGACCCAGGGTCTTCAGGCTCGGCTTCCTCATGGGAAGAGATGTTGGTGGGATTGAGGAGGTCTTTGAAGTATTCCGTCCACTGACCCACAATGTCCCGAGTTGAGGTCAGCAGCGCACCATCCGCACCATGTGTAGTGTTGGTGGCGAGCCGCCCCCACCCCACGAGACGCTGGATGGTGGACCAGAATCGCCTCAAAGCTGTGTGAAAGTCTTTTTCCATGGCCTCTCTGAACTCCTCCCACGCCTGAGTTTTTGCCTCAGCGACCACCCGAGCTGCAATCCACTTGGACTGTCAACACCTATCGGCTGCTTCCTGAGTCCCATAGGCCAAAAAGACCTGATAGGACTCCTTCTTCAGCCTGACAGCATCCCTCACTGCTGGTGTCAACCAGCGGGTTCGAGGGTTGCCGCCACGACAGGCACCGACAACCTTACAGCCACAGCTCAGGTAAGCYGCCTCCACAATGAACATGGTCCACTCGGACTCAATGTCCCCCACCTCCCCCGGATTGTGTTCAAYGTTCTTACAGAKGTGTGAGTTGAAGCTCCATCTGACGGRAGACTCTGACAGACGTTCCCTGCAGACCCTCACTATACGTTTGGGTCTGCCAGGTCTGACCGGCATCCTCCCCCACAAACGGAGCCAACTCACCACCAGGTAGTGGTCAGTTGACAGCTCCGCCCTTCTTTTCTCTCGAGTGTCCAAGACATGCGACCGCAGATCAGATGAATCAGATGATGATTGTTGGCCTCATTTACCAAAATTATTGTTTTCTTCTCCTTTGAGACAGAGGAAACCCTGAAAGTAGGAGCATTCAAATATTAGG